TAGGTACGTTTTTGGGCACGTACGTGATTCATAACTTGTATGGTGTGTTGTGACGAGATCGGTGCGTGTGCTAGGCATGCTTACTTTTGTCTAGTTCATGTTTTAGGTTACTACTCTACGCTGATAAAGATCATGCAGTTAGTACAGGGGTTCTTAACCTATGGTCCATGGAACCCTTTGGGATCCGTGGATGGTCTTCGGGGAGTCTGTGAACCAGGCGCATACAAATTTTGTGTTTATGTGCTTATGTGCATTTTTGGGGTGGGGTCCGTAGAATTCACCAGATTCTCAAAGGGATCCATGACTCAAAAAACAGGTTAGTTTTACTCCCACTGAGTTAGAGAGAGCAGGTATGTGTAAACAGATAGTGGACGCTGAGAAGACTGACGAAGATAGTCAGTGGACGATGTGCTAGTGACAAAGAGGTGAAGCAGAGGTACAGAATCAGTGAGGGCGTGGAGGCTAGGTGGATAAATCATTACCTCTACCTACTCCTGCACTCCCACTCTATCCTCTCCGCAATCGACCATCACCACCATATCTCATCCATCTCTCTCCCTCACTTACTGAAGATGCTCCGCCCAACCTATCCTACTTTCTACCTCATTTGCCCTCTCTATGCACTTCCTTCCCGTTCTCTCATAGAAGATCCTATTACTATAATAGCCTCCCTAAACCTATAGTATCCTACCTTCTCCACTTGTATATATAGACCTAAGGTCTATACTATCTACACCACAGTCTAACTTGTGCGGGTTAAGGCTTTTGCATACTTTTAATAGTTTTATTTATAATTTCACTGTCTCACGCATCACGAATTACATAGACAGTCATACACTGTCAGCGAACTCTTCCAAACTATTTATTTTCATAGATGGCATGAGGAATGTCATTATTGACTATGATTCCAGTCACATACCTATATGGTTTTATCATAAACATGTATTATGAATATATAAAACTCGAGAATTTTTTTGGACTTTTTTTATTAATAACAACATTCTAACAAAGCCTATTTATTGACGATTGCAGATCAGAGTGGAATAGCTTCAGTTGCATTTTTGAATGCCAAAAATTGTGCTCAGATTTAGCGAAACATTTTCAGTTGGTACCACACACTTTATGTACACATTTAATGACCAAGTGGCAGTTTAAAATATCATTAAATAAACAACAGTAACATTCATTTGAGTGCTAAACAACTGAGGCAGAAGAACACTCATCATTCACAAATTCACAATAAAGCCAGGTAATATTCAGCTATTGATTTTATTTAGCACTTTATCACGAGTTGTGTATAGTGTTTTGTTACACAATCAGCAAAAACCATTTTGCTACGGTCCATTCTATGTTCGTTCAAAGTTGCAGCAGATGGAGCTATTGTGGATGATTTAGGCTGATATCGCTTCCAGCCCCTGAAAATACAAATTTTATTAAAAGTTACTTATCTATCTTTAGAAGGAAAATGTCATTAACCAACTTCTAATAAATAGGAAGTAATTTTTACCGTTGTGGAAGCTGTTATAATAGCCAAATTTTAAGCAATGCATACTACATATTTTCTTCATGTAACCAGTGCTAATGGACTCATATGAAAGCAAATTCAACCTTTAGAATACTTCATTCATAATTGGCACTTACTCGAGTCCTGTACGCTTTGCCATGAAGCCTCACGTCTCTTCGGTACAACCACAGATCGGTCGGATTTTTTACATCCCTAGCTTTCCACTGAAACACAATTGTGCATTTAGCTTATTTAAAATAATTACTTATATAATAATTGTCACTAGTGCAGTGCACAACTTAGTTTAGAACCCTGGATTCTAAAACCAATAGTCCTCTAACAGATGGCGCCACTATACCTAAAATTGCAGCGTGCGTAATGTGCGAGCGTGTGTTATGGGCAGAGCTCATATCAGATAAATTGAAACTTATGGACGGACTCTGTAATGGGCGAGTATACTATGGGCGCTTGGGTCGTCTCAATAATAAAATGATGGTATATAAACATAAATTGTATTTACCAAAGTCTTTTAATGTTTATGTATTCTCTATCAGCTTATAATTCTACTCTAATAAAAATAACCATTAAAATGATCCTCTGCAACTCACAATCCCACCACACATGCCACTGTGCACAACTCGCAGGTTGGGAAGCGTAAACACAAATTTATACTTGTATTGTAATACCATAATGCTTACTTCATTTACTCTTCCACAGCCCAAATACCCAACCAACACCTCCATATTGATATCTGGGTAATGCTATCCCCCGGGCGTGGAGGGAGGTGACCGCAACGTGGCAGCACTAGTGCTAGGATGAGTGTTAGGATAGGGTCAGGGTCAGGGTTAGGGTTAGGGTAGGGTTAGGATTAGGGTTAGGGATTGGTTAGGTTAGGATTAGGGTTAGGGTTAGGGTTTTTGCATCATGATATCTGTCCCACACCATAGATTAATTTTGTGGTTTTTGGATTATATATAGCGCTCGCGAGATATATATGTTTAGTGGTATGGTTAGCGATGGAGGTATTGGAGTTAGCGTTACCGGGTGAGTAATGGTTTTGAAGTATACATCAACGGTATCACGTGATCCTCCCTCCACGCCCGGGGGATAGCAACACCCTTGATATCTATGCATAGCTGATTGTTCACTTGTTAGAATAATCACTCTTGATCTCGGGTACAACGTAATTTACCCAGAAGAACCTCATAAATTCCTGCGGTAATATTGCTCTCCATGGTTTTGCAAGCAGAAATATCTGTCTATTTACCATCCAAAAATCCTTATCAGCACAATTACATTGTTTGGCCAACAGTCGTGTACATCATTCTTGCTCAACACATACATGAGCCGAGTGGTTGGGATCATCCTGGAGCTTGAAAGTCGGGATCACTTGAACCCAGAATGCAATATGCCACGATTACTCATGACGTATAATCAGGGAGTTGGCTCTCGTTGACAAATACGAAATAGTAATACGACAGAGCGCGATATTTCCCATGAGTTTTACCCAAGTGCAAGAGTGATAATTCAAACTAGTTAACATTCAGCTACACATAGATGCCAATATGGAGGCAGTTGGCTGTGCATCACTGCATTTTAATAAAGATGTAGAGAAGAGAGCATTGTGAGGATTTGGCACTCATGCCCACAGTCACTTGGAGCGTTTCAATAAAATATAATGCTAAATAAATACGAAATCGATTTACTACCAGTCTTAATGTTTCTATACTCTCTTCACCTATTATTGCGCACAATTTCCTGTAAATGCCGTCCAAATGCTCATCTGCAACACACTGTCACACGCTGGCCGCCGCACGCTAGCTGGCTGCACCACTGACAACAATAATATAAAGCAGGTAGGAAAGTGTGCTGCAAATTTGCTCGACGCTCGCTTGATTTATACATACAACACAAATATTCAACCATTCTACTCCATCTTTGTTTCTATTTGAAGAACAGTGTTCACTTGTTATAAAAACATACTGTCTATGTTCGTAACGAGCTGTGTCACGCGAAATACACCAAAGCCTGACGAAATTCTCGCGTTCGCTCCCATTGCGCAGTTTATGTAAATGGCTGCAGTACAGGGCTATAGGTGGCGCACTGCATTTTGGAAACTACCACGCTGCTTTCCACCTCCCGTGTGAGCCCGTCAAAGCCGCCAGTGGAGCGTTGCAAAACGCTGCAGCGTTGTGGCGGCAAAAATGACGGTCAGGAGAGCGGCCGGTGGCTGTTTCCTGATTCCGACATCCATTTACATAACTGCGCACGGGAGCGAACGCGAGAATTTCGTCAGGCTTTGTGTGATTTCGCGTGAAACAGCTCGGTTACGAACACAGACAGTATGTTTTTATAACAAGTGAACACTGTTCTTCAAATAGAAACAAGATGGAGTAGAATGGTTGAATATTTGTGTTGTATTCGTATGAAATCAAGCGAGCGTCGAGCGAATTTTGGCAGCACGCATTCCTACCTGCTACTGCTAGTAATACTAATACCAGACTACAGTATATATTTACGCAGTGGCTACGCGTCCGGATATCCACTCACACAGTGATCGCGTGACTCGCGTACACGCATGATTGCGCAACGGGACGCTCTGCTGCCGTCTATCCTTTCATCCATCCTCTCTCGCTCACACACACACACACACACACACACACGCACAGCTCTCTCTCCCACACACACACACCTCTCTGATCTCTCTCTCTCTCTCACGCATACACACACACATACACATTCCATTCCCTTTTCTCTCTCTCTTTCATGCACACACCACAACACACACAGCACGCACGCACGCACGCACGCACGCACGCACGCACACACACACACACACACGGCAATCAGCAGAGCGTCCCATTGCGCAATCATGCGTGTACGTGTGCAAGCTCACTGTGTGAGATGGATGTCCGGACGTGTAGCCTAGCGGCTCCTCGTTCGGAACTGGTCGCGTAGCCACGGCCATATATTTATGTGTCAGTGTGCAGCAGCTAGCGTGCGGTGTACTTTTGTGTTGCAGATGAGCATTTGGACGGCATTTACAGGAATTTGTCGGGCAATAATAGTGAAGAGAGTAGAGAAACATTAAGACTTGGTATCGGTAGTAATATAGTATTTCGTCTTTATTTAGCATTTACTCAATAGGCCCTTATTTTATTGGAACACGCTCCAACTCCAAGTGTCTGGTGTTCAACTCGGGGTTCAACTGCATTAGACTTACTCACAGGCACTTGGAACGTCTCAATAAAAAAAAAAAGGTAAATAAACACCCGGAAATGTTTTATACGACAGTCTTATGTTTTCTACTCTATTTCGCTATAATCACTGTAAATCGTGAAATGTAAGAGGACGAGAATGTCTGTTTATACCGAGTAATGGGGCGCATTGCATGCCAGGGATGAGCTGCTGCGCCTGCGAGCTCAGCTTTCGGGGGCCGGCCAGGCCAAGCAAATGCTCGCGGAAGTGAAGTACGCAGCAGCCCGACTCACAATCGTCGAAATTCGTAGCGCGCGTTAGGGATATTCGGATGATACGTCTCTTTCATTTTAGCGGAAGAGAACTTTCGCTGCAGGATTTCACGGAGATATCTTGGCCGGGAGTAAGGTAAGAACAAAAGCCAGCGTTATAATTCGAACAAGGTTGACACATTTATATACACATAGTAGTGATGTTCAGTAATCTCAATTATACTCGATATCGGTTGAACTAGTGGCTCGAACCTAAGCGCTTGGTTATCAATAATCCATATCGATTTCAGCGAAAAGAAAGAAAAACAACATCGAAATAAATGTAAAACTTGAACAAGAAAACTTGAAAACTGATGAGATCAGAGATATCATCGCTATTTTAGTTCGGGATCCCCCGACATTCGCCGTCAGTT